TTAAATAGAAATTCTTTATATCTGTACTGTGTGGCGATTTCTAGTATTATTTGAGTGGGATTTTTGGGCCCAAGCATATACTAAGCACTTTATAAATGTGTAGTAATAATGAACAAAATAAAGGGTTTTGACTGTATTAGTAGAATAATAAAGTCAATGGGTTTAAAAACTAACAAGATAAAATTAAAAATTTTTAAAAATAGCACGTTATCACTTGTAATTGCACAAAGACTAATGTAATTTTTTACAGAACAAAATTAATAGATAAAAATTGAAAAGGAAAAATTTCAAAAAAGTAGCAAAAAAATAAATAAATAAAAAAAAATGGCAAGATATGGTTTTAAGTAAAATTTATGTAAGATGTTTTTTATGTGGATGGATTTATGAAGGGGTGAGGTTAATCATAGAATTGATGAGGGGGAAAAAAAGGTGAGTGGTGCGTTAGGGAATGTGGGTCAAAAACGTTACTATGGGGGCAAGAAGGGAAAGTAGAAAATATAGTATACCAACACTCTTATATGGTGTGAAGCTTGGGTGGTAAATGCAGCAGGAGGGGACGGTTGGAGGCAGGGGAAACCCCCGTCTAAGGGGAAGTGTGGTGTAAATATTATGCAGAAAAATTTGGAGTGTGGAAAATTTGGAGAAGGTGTGGGGTTAATAAAACATTGTCAGGGCGAAGAGGGGTTGTGGGTGGTTTTGGGATTTGAGAGAATGGATCAAAATAGAATGACATGGAAAGCATTAAACTTAGGGAAGGGGGGGGGGTAGGGGGCGTCCCGAAAGGGTTGGAAAGGGGGGTAAAGGAGGTTTTGTGGGCAGGGGCTTGGACTTCCGCAAGTGCAAAGAGGTGTTAGAAGGAGTGAATGGAGACGAATGATATTGGGACTTTACGATCTGTTGGGTGTGGAAGGGTAAATTTAGTGAAAAGGGGTTAGGGGAAACCCGGGTTTTTTTCATATAGTCGGGCTTGAGCTGGAAATGGGGGTACAATCCCGATTTAAAGGAGGGGTTTGGGAATTTGGAGTTTGGGGGGTATGTTTTGGGTTTTTTTACGTATATGTTTAAATGTTTTTATTCTGGCACCTCTGCAAAGCAGGATAATGTGTGAGTGAGTGAAAAATTGAATGATGTGAAAGTATTTTTTTTTTTGGGGGTTTTCTTTCTTTTTTGGGTCACCCTGCCCCGGTGGGAGCGACGACTTTTTGGAAAAAAAAAAAAAAAAAAAAAAAAAGATGGTACCAAGTAAAAGTTGGGGGTTGAATTACCGTTTTAAATCTGGCAACAATGGTTTTAAAAAAGTAAAAAAAAAATTGGGGAAAAAGCTAAAATAAAAAAAGGGCAAAAATTTCTGAAAAGGGAAAATGCTTGTATTTAAATTAAAAAAAAGATAGGCATTTTGTGGGAAATTGAAATATTTGATGAAGTTAGATAATAAATAAAAAAAGGTTCTGTAGTTTTAAGCACAATTAAGATGAGGTAGAATGGGATTGAATACAACAGTGCTTCAAAAAATAAATTTGGTATTAAATTTTGGTAAATAAATTCTTGGCGTATGCAACTATTTTTTTTTTTTTTATTAAAACCCCTGACCCATTCCACCCCCCCCCCCCCCCCCCGGGTGGCCCCAAAAAAAAAAAACTTTCACCATCATTATCCCAAGTTTGCCAAAGGTGCTTTTCACTACGTTTTTAAAACGCCATTAAAACCCCCCCTTCGAGGAGGCACTGTACTTTCCATCTCCAGGACTCAAATCGGCCCGCCGGTTTCCCTGAACCCTTCATAAATGTTATTTGCTCCCTCCAACAGACGTCAAGTATTAAAAAAACCCTTTGTCTCCATCCCCTTATCAAACCGCTACGCTGCCTGCTGGAAGTCCAAAACCCTCAAAACCCAAAACTTCCCCTTTAACCCCCCCCTCCCAACCTTTCCCGGCCGACCCCTACCCCCTTCTTACTAAGTGATACACTCTTTTAAGTCTTCGTTTCGCTCCATTTCTCTACTGTCCCCAACCACCCCAAAAAACCCTTCCTCCCCTCTGGACAACAGTTTTGGTTCCCCCACCTCCTCCTAACTTCCAAACTCGAATTCTCGCATTATTTACATACACATTGCCCTCAGACAGAATCCCCTGCCCCCACCCTTTCCTCGCTGCAACATTCATCACCCAGCTTTCCCCCATTAAGAGGTTGGTTAAAAAATTTACCTCATAATTCCCCTCTTTGCCTCCCCGGAAAAGTTCCGTCTCCACAGACCCTAGTGCAGCCCCCTTTTCCCTCATCAATTCTATGATTCACCTTCTTTCATGACCCTCCGCTGCACGTCCACTCCCAAATATCTTAATACATTCACTCCCCAACGCTCTCCCTCCAATCTGATATGCAATCTTTCTCACCTAATTTTTCTTATCCCCATAGCCTTCTTTTCCCGTATTCACTTTTAAATTTTTTCTTTTGCACACCCTACCAAATTATCCACCAATCTTGCAACTTTTTTAGAATTCCCCAAAAGACAGTGTCATCAGCAAAAAGCAAAAATTTAAACTCCCACTTTTTTGTGTGATTCTTTATCTTTTTAAATTTGCCCAAAACCCTCGCATTTACTTTTCTTACAACCCCTTATAAATTATTAAACAACCGGTGACATCACACTCCCTGCTAAGGCCACTTTTACTGCCTTTGACAGGGATGTGTGATGTCCAGTGGTTTTATGCAACCGTTACAGGCAAATCATAACTAGTCGTGGACGGTGGGTATAATCCTCACTTCGGTCTGTTTTAAACCCCGCCTCACTCAGGGATATTTTAAGGTCGTATTTCCCTAGAGATGAAGCTCCTTCCCAAGGGCTGTTTCCTAATTGCGAATTTTTCCCTCCCTGCAGAATGGGGGATTTTTTAAACATGGCGTAATTTTCTTTGCCCATAATTGAGGTTTTGCTTGTTTGGAAGGGGAAATCATTGAGCATAAACGTTTTCATGAAATGGGTGTTTTTAGTAGGTTGTTTCTTTTGGGGTTTTTGAATTTTTAAAAGAAATTTTTTTTTACCGCTTGGGGGGTGTATTGGAGAAAGTTATCAAAGGAATAAAAGGAGAATAAACAGTTAGTGGTACCAAGCTCTTATAGGGGGGTGAAACATGTGTGGGATGTTGCAACAAAAAAATTGTGGGCAGTGGGAGGGCATTTGGGGCATTGTGCGTGTGAATTTTGCAGAAATTATAATTTTGGGGATTGGTGGTGTGTGGAGGGTTTTCCCAAATTTATCCAGCGGCGAGGAAGGGGGTTTTTTGAGTGGTTTAACAAAATTTAATAACCCGAAAGGGGATAGAAATCTTGTGGAAAGGGGGGTAGAGGTCGTCCCGGAAAGGGGAGAGAGGGGAAAATGATTTTGTGTGCAAGGGGCTTGGAAATTCCCGAAAAAGGTGTGGCGTTTGGGGAAGAGCGAGTGGGGGAAGAGTTGTTTTTGCTTTACGTGCTATTTGGGGTATGAGCAAAGTAATTTTATGAAAGGGATTTAGGGAAACCGTTAACGAAACTTGGGGTTTGGGGGCGGGGGGGGTACCTACCCTTTACTCTGAAGACAAATGTTTTTTTTTTCAGTTTAAATAGTGTGAGGCAGCCTCTGGGAAGATAAAAGTTGAATGAATGATAAATTTTCTTTTTCTGGTCATCCTGCCCCTTTATTGAAAAAAGGCCCATGTGTTAAAAGAAAAAGGTTAAAAAAATCTTAGCTTCCAATTAAACAGGGGACTGTAAAGGACTTAAAGGGTTTCCTAAGAAAGTCCCCCGTCGTAGTGCCCGTCAACGTAGTAGGGGGTTAAAATAATTTTTTAAAAAGTTCCCCCGGGAAGGTGCTGGAAATTATTGAGGAAATTTAAGGGGAAGACGGAAAGCGGATCACGATTGAGTTATATGAGGCTTTAGCTGGTGCTACATGAAAATTAATAAAGGGAAAAAAGTTTTCTTCGGGTTTTTTTATTTGGAAAAGGTTTTGGGGTGGATATAAAAATGTGGCAGTTTGCAAATTATGGAAAAGTGGCGATTATTGAAATTTTGTTTTTAAGGGAATACTCATGAGGGTATGAGAGGGGATTATTTAAAAATCAAGTTGTTTAAATTTTTTAAAATGGGAAAGAAAATATCTTTCATAACCCCCCCCAAGGCTTAACTTCACCAATGTCAAAGAATTTGGGGAATAAAATAATACTAACTTAAGGGCCCCTTATAATTCTTAATGCCCGGGAGAAAATCATGTAAAAAACCTTGGAAAATTGGGGGATGGCCCCAAAATACAAAAAAAAAATTTTAAGGAGAAACCCGGGAATGAAAAAAAAATTTCCCCGTGGGGGGGGGCCCCGGGGACCTGGAAGACAACCATAAATTTTTCCCAAGATGTTTTTTGTCCCACAACATAAGGAGATTCCAATAGACTCCCGATTCCAAAAGAATTGGAAAAGGGTCCAAAAAAAAGACCCAAAGGGGGGGTGGTTTTTAGAATTGGCTTCGGGAGGAAAAGGTTTATCAGCCCCGATCCCCCAAAAACTTCCAAGGGGTCGGGGGGTTGACCCCCGAAACCCTCTCCAGATAAACTCCAGGGGTCTTGGTTAAAGGTATGTGATTGCAAGACAATATTAAGACAGTGGAAGTTGTCAGTTGCCTTTTGCCAAAGACGCTGCTTTTGGGAGACTGAGAAGTTGCAAGGGTTGGTGGACAAATTTGGGGTATGTAAAAAATAATGAGCATTGGAAAGAGCAAGGGGGCGAGAAAAACATCCAGTGAGTGGCAGGTCTGCGGGCGAGCCGCCACAGTGACTCCGACCCCTCTTCGGCACCCAGCCTTATAAATACTTTTAGTAACCCTGCGCCTTTTTAATTAGTGGCCATACCAACTGTTCTTAACTTTAATAGCAACCGTTAATGACACATCAGTTATTACTTTTATTTTCCAACTAAACTGGGTAATGAGAGTTTTTATTATTGATGTAGAATTTCTTAAAAGCATACCAACCATAGTAGTCTGGGAGAAAGTAAAATGACACCAGAGTCATGGCCATCTGGATGGTCCCCATGATGAAGAAGGGCATCTTAAAGCCTCCCAGCTCTAACAAAGCTCCACCCAGAATTGGCCCAAACATCTGCGCCAGATTCATTGTCGTCCTTGTCCAGGCCTGGAAAATGCATTTATTTAAAATTCATCCTTTCTTATGCAGCAGAGTTATGATTTGCAAAGCTTTTGAACCATTGGGATAGGACTTTAAACAAAAAAATTGGAATTTAGCTGCCGTAAGAAATTCAACTACCTGTATAATTTAGTAATACCATTTTGCTATTATGACCCATTTGCACAACTCTAAATTAACTGCAATTTAAAATATATCCGTAATTCGTTCCTAGTTCTAAGCAATAGCCCAGGCTATTACCTCAAATATATTTCCTGGGTTGTTGGGCCTTTCTTACAGTTATCCTAAAACTAACAACTGCAGCGTAAAATCTCATTACCGATGCAACATCAAACTATTTACTTGTGTACACCTGTCCTTCCTCCAAGTAAATTTATGTCTTAAGAGTAGACAGTGTAATGGTTATGCGAAAAATACAACTGCAATTTAAAGGGGTAACAAAAATTGGACACTGAATAGGATACCTAATAATTTTGCTGGTTTCATTAAAAAAAAATCTTTAGAAATTAATAAATTTTTCACTTTCAGTAAAATAAACTGCTAGTCTATGAAACTTACAAAGACTTTAGCCACACAGTCAGGAAACTCTAAACCAATATAGGCAAAAGTTGCAGTGCTGATACCGGCATTAGCAGTAGCTTGAGTCATCCTGATAGCTATGGCCATGATCACAAACAACGATCCTTCTGGCATCCACTCAAGGAACCTGATCATATATTTATTATACAAGAAAAAGAGTTTTGAAAAAAAAGTTTTTTTTTTTATTTTTTATATAAGTCCCGAGGCCCATTTAAAATTAAAAA